TTCAATATTGTTGCTCTTGTAATTTATTGTATACTGAAACTGAATATGTGAGTGTGTTTGTATGTATATATGTATAGGTGTATCTGTGTATATGTTTTCAATATCTACTTTCATACTGTTCACGGCTTGTCGCTGCTTCAATTGAATTCATAAACAGCACAAAGCATGCAGGACAAATGGGAAATGGGAAATGCGACTGTGGGAGACAGATAGAGTCGTAATTGAAAAGAGGGGCAAAAAGGTGGGAATGATTCTGCTTGGGGCATGTCCGAAGAGGACTTAATTAATGAAGCTGCAGCTTGCGATGAACAAGGGCAAGCTAAGTGCATTTAATTGGTTGTAAAAGGGAACTTCTTTTGGTTTTGAATCGGAAGTGTGGACATGCTAAATGCAAACCATAAGGATATTTTAAGCGAATTAAACTGTTTAACGGTTTTTTTTTTTTATTTATAACAGCCGGGCTCAATATAATTCGGTTAAAAGTAAGAATGAACATATAAATGTAGTTGCCATCGCTAATGCTTAAAACTAATTAGTGTCAAATAAATAAATAAAACACTATCATTTTAATGCAGTTTTCCAGTTAGATTCGATGGTTAATGTTATTTGAGAGTTAGGTAAAATATAACTTCTCAAAGTAAAAAATATGTAAGTATTAAAGAAAAACTCTTCAGAAAGACATGGGACAAACAGCTTACCTACCACTATGTGCGAGTACTTTTTGTAGACACTGTTTTTGGCGTAGGCCTCATTTAAAGAAGCGGGCAACAAAAGTACTTTCCCCTCATAAATTGATTCCATATTGAGGGGCACTTCTAAAAATACACATGTTAATGCTCATTGGCATTAAGACACACACATTCAGCTGCTCCCTCTATATATATGTACATCACATATGTATGTCAATTAGTCGAACAGATTGACTGCCGCTCTCAGCTGGAGAATCGAGAGTAGAGCAGCTGCACAGCCAGGGAGGAGATGGGGGATCGGATCCTTCATCTGTCGGTCAATTTGTCTGAGCTCGTGTTTCGTTTGTGGCCATCGGCCGTTGCGGTCACCCCTGAAGCGAGAGCTTCTTTTGAAGTTAATTTTAATTGTACTCAAGTAGGAAATCTCAATTTTCCAGCAAATTTCAGTTCAAATTCATTAAAGCAAATCCAAATCGGCACGAATCTTCATTGAGCGTCGTTTGTGATGTGTGCTTAAATGCAAGTTTTGCATTAATTGCCAAACGAGGGAACGAAATGAAGTACATAACAATAATAAAAATAATAATCATCATAATGTTTTTGTTGTTATATTAGTCAGTGTCAAGTGGTGAAGACAAGCAAATTAGGGCTTTAATGGAGAAATTGCAATGGAGTTTTAATTTTGAAACGCAGCCGTGATATTAATTGAATGGAGCTTTAATCAACTTGTGGTATCAATGAGTCGATCTGTTTATGTGAACTGATTTGTGATGCAAACATGATACTATGAAAGACATATATATATAGTATTTTTATGTCTTTGATAATATTCAATTCTACAATGCTACAATAATAAACACTTCAGTTGTTTGTGTTTAGAATTATCAAACGGTTCTAGCACAAACTAGCTCATTTAAAAAAATGTATTATGTTTTCGACTATAATTATTATATTAAATAAATGGTACAAAATGTATCTTAATTCTTAATTTTGACAAATCAAGAGCAGCAGCTATTTATGCAAATATTCACAAATTCTAGAAAATATATTTAAAATCAGAATTTGTATTTTTTAAGTAAATTCCAATTGAAAACCGATTGGTAAATGCAAACGCAGACACGCTGAGTCACGCCACATTTGGTGGCATTGCCTGCCTGCCCCGTGTTGCAACGCACTTGTCACAGTTGCAGCATTAAAAATCTGGTAACTCTCTCTCGGCTAAATGAATGAAACTAAAAAGAGCGAGAGTGTAGTGCAGACAGCGTTTTCGTACTGCCGAATGGCCGTTGGCAGCTCAATTGAATTTTATCAACAGCATAAATATATATATAAATATAAATGCAAATCTATATATACATGTATATATATATATATATATATATATATGTATGTATATATGCTTGTACATCCCTACAAACGTTTGTACAAAAATGTCGTCGCTAGACGTTAGCCATTGACTACAGAATGTGGCAAGCCGCAGTCATAAAAACGAAATCAACAACAACAACAATCAGCGACAACACAGAAATAAAGAGCCATTTTTGTTGCTTCATTGTTTTGATGGTTTTGCATTCACATACCACTAAGCAAAGAAATCAAACCAAACAAACCAACCAACAGAGAGCAGCAAGAGAGCAAGAGTTGCATTTGTCTCAGCAATTGTTGTTGTAGTTGCTGTTTTTCATTTATTATTGGGTATCGCTCTGCTGCTTCCTCTTCTTTTGTTTTGTATTTTCCTTTATACGTGTATATTATCTCAGTTTCCTTGCATTATGTTATTATTGACCATTATCTGCGTATCTTTTTTTTTGCACATATTCTCTCACACGCACGAAAAAACCATGCACACACAAACACACACACACACAAATAAATGCGGATGATTTACAAATAAAAAGAATCATGAAGAGGAAGAGCCACCAGCGAATCCCGAAATTGACTTAGAATCGTAAACCTTTTTTTAATCTACAATTCTGCCATTTCGATTGTTATATTCAAATTAGTTTAAAATTTAGTATGTTAAATTATTATGAAAAAGAAGATATTCCATGTCAAAGTTATACGATATTCACAATCGTAAGTCTTAATCAGGACTTCAAAATGTTAAATTAATCGAACTGAATTGAATCTTTCTAGTTATCGAGCGCAGTCTCGATATCTTTTTAGTTGCAACTTTGTCGACTTGGGTCGTTGCCAGACGTGCGAAAAAATTAAACTTGTTAAAGAGCCTGACTCTTTGTCAATAGCTAAAATACGGCCTGTCATTTGGATTGTGTTTGCCTGTTTCGCTGTCTCTTTGCCTGCCTGTCTGCTGATAGATAAGGCTCGAAACCTTGCTGTCTGTTGCGTATACGCAGTGTGTAAAAGAAATGCCAACGCTATATGAAAAGTTGATGTGCTTTTCCGCATACAAACAAATTATTCATTTATGGTTATTTCTTGTTTTTTTGTTTGTTTTTGTTTTTCATTTGTCATCGCTGAACAACAACAAGGATAATGTTGATTGTGGTCGATGGCAAGTAAGTTTTTCGGTGCTTTTGAGCTCAGTTTAATGTTTGATGTCGATAAAGATACGATTATTGAGATACATTTGTACACCTTCTAATAACAAGCAAACGATTCTGTATCGAGAACAACAAATAAAATCAAGGTGTGTGTATTTTGTCTGTACTTTGGTAAGATATGTGCCATCTCATGCTGTTGGCATTATTGACTTTATTCTGATAGTTTGTCTTGTAAGAGATATGCTGTGCATTCAGATACACACACACACGCGCAGAAACACACAGAGAGAAAGACACACACAACAAACACCACAAACACTCGTGCAAATGTGTTAATTGTATTTTGATTGAATTGTGTTGAAATATTTACACAGCAGCCAAACGCTTAAACGAGAATTGCGTACAATTTCCGATCTCCTCAACGAGCAAATGGAGAAGCATTTAAGGCCAAGGATCGGGGCAATGGGTCTGCGGTGCTTAACAGGTTTTCAATGAGTGGTTTCTCGCCCTCTGTTTTGTTGTGCGTGTTTATTTTATACTTTTTCTTTACGATTTGTTTGCATTGTCCGTTCTTGTTATGGTTTTTTAATATTTTTTTTTACTTGGCGCTGACGATTTGAATGCAAATTATTAACAGACTGCATTTGCCTGCCTGTTATTTCTGCATCTCTTTAGCATTATACACTACATACACGTTTTATATTTATGATGTGTATGTGTGTATGAAGTATAATTAAAAAGCACCACCTAAAGTTTCGTTTCCAGTGTCTACACTTCCGTTTGTACACCCCTGCCCCTGCCCTCTTTTAATTTGTGAGTGCCCCATTTTTATAATAATCCATATCCATACATATTTTGATTCATGTATTGTTCGGTACGCTTAAGTTTGGCCGAGGGTTGTTTTTTGTTGTATCCTTAGTTAGCACTCAATTGCTGTGGTGGTGTGGCTGCGCCAGAGAACGCTGCTCTCTCTCGTTCTCTCTCCTTGCAGATGGAGAGAGCGAGAGATTGCACTCTCTATCTCTATAGTGAGTGTAGTATTTAGGATTACTCTCTCTCTGTCGCCTTCAGCTATATCTCGTTATCGTTCTATTACCCTTACTACGACGTTTCGAATTCACATTCACGTGGAGTACTTTTTTTTTCCCCCGATACCGATTGGATTGTGCGACCTGGCCGATAGATGGCGCTGCGTGACAGCGCCACATCTATTTGACGTAGTTAATGGAAAAATCATGAAAATTAAGCTTCGTCGGCAGAACGTCAAGTTCTCTGTTAACTTTCCCTTTGTTATTCTGGATGAGTGTGCTTCTGTGTGTGTGTGTGTATGTATGTGCGTGCGTGCGCTTGAGTGTGTCTATTGGCTTGGCTACTTAGACGATTACTTTTAACTTTTGACATATTTTGTGAGTGTGCTTCGGAATGTTGCCAGATTTTTGTTTTTGTTGGCGGCGGCAGCGTTGGCACTTGAAATTTTTGATTTATGAAGTCTTGAACTTGCATTGTTTGCAGTTTCCAACTTTGTTTTTGGTTTATGGTAGGAAAGTTTTTGTTCCCTTGGCGTATTTAATTTGTATCTGCATCTTTTGGGTCAAATTAGATGGGGAAAAAAACTCATATCGAACTCAATTAGAGTAAATATAATAATTAATAGCAGTCCATTGGTAATAAGCAAGCACCAACTAACCGAAATTTGACTTATTAACGCCTACTTCATTTCTAATATTATCAATAAATAATAATCAAATGAATCAAATTTTCTCTTTCTAGGTAAATAAATGTGTGAAGAATATGAAATGAACTAATTTAAATGTGCAATGCGATGCCTCACACCTCCTTATACAATTTGTCAACACGTAAGTCAACAAACTGTACAAAATCCGAATTATTTGAATGGCAATAATGAAAAACGGCATTTGTGGATGCATGCAAAACAGAGCTACCCACCTGTTATTTGAGAGCATAGGCAGCTGTTAGCAAATGCTGTTTTATTGTGTGCCGTGGCCGTCAATTCAATCTGGCAACGCTGTCCGGACATCGCTACAATTATTGTTGTTGTTTGGTTGTTGTAGGTAGGTTGCTCTGGTTTTGTGTGTTCTCTTGTGTTGTGTTTCGCTCTTTTGAGGTACTAAGTGATTTTACGTGTTTGCTGCTGCAACCACACACGTCTGTCCTCCACCTTTGCCTGTTAGCCCGCATCGCTGACGTTGTGTTGTTGTTGTTCTTTCGTTCGTTTCGACGGTGAGTCGGTTTGCTGCGTGCGCTCTCTCTTGGTGTCGCTGTCGCTCTCGCATTATGATTTTTTTGCGCTCTTGTGTTGTTTTTCGGCTTGAGTCGCGCGCTGAGTTTTTCTTCTCATTCTTTGCGACGCGCGCGAAGCAACAACAACGACGACAACGACAACGACGACGACGACGACGACGACAGCAACGATAACGATGAGGACGCGAACCACAACGAGGACATCCACGAGGATACTGTAGGGATATAAAAATGTTTTGTGCGATTTCACCGCGACTAGTCTTACGTACGTGCCGGGGTCGCAATGAATGTCTCGTCTCGTCCCGTCTCCTCTCGTTTCGTCTTCACTCATCTCGTCTATCGCCTCTTGCCAACATATTTCGATGTTAGTTGTCGCTTTTGTGTAATAAAGTTTTTGGAGCTATTTGTTGTAGCCGTCGCGACACACCACAGTCGTTAATTGCCACATACAAATTTGATAACACATTAATTGAATTGAATTGGCCAAAACGCGCGCGCGACTCTTTATGTGTGTGTGTGTGTGTGTGTGCCCGTGTGCCTCTAAGTTTGAGTGCAAAACAAATCATAAAAGAATAAATAAAAGTTTGCAGAATGCAAATGGAAGTGTTTAACGCCAAATAAAACAAGAATCAAAATCAAACGCGCAAAGTCGTCAAGTTAATTTTATTCGTGTTTGTGCAGTGCATAAAAAGCAGTCAAAATTTTCACCATTTATCCGCAAATATTTAGTGAGTATCTCAGAGATGCCCACCCACACACACACACACATACAGATAGACACACACACATTCACTCACTCATACTCACTTATTCAGCACCGCGCTCTCCCTTGCGCCACCAGCTTCTAGTATAAACAACGTGCGTGTGAGAAAGAGCACGCGTGTAAATGATGTTTGTGGACTGCTGTTGTTGTTGTTGTTATTATTGTAGCTGCTGGCACATCTTTAGGAATATACACAGATACGTCAATAGCGCCACACACACACATACGCACACACACACACATAGACACATACACACATACAAACACATACACGTACACAGAGACAGCAGAAGTACAGCGACGACAACAACAACAACAAGAGGAATGTCGATGACTATGACGACGACGTAAATTGTGAAGAAATGCGCGCTCGTGTGACCCCATAGTCATAGTCGCTGCTGCTCCCACCCTTGCCCAAAATGCTCCTTTCACCACACTCCTCCCCCTCTCGCACCGCGGAAAGGCAAAACAAATAAGATGTAGATACACTTTTTTTTCTTCGTTCTTTCATCTATTGTTGTTGTTGCCTCCTCGTTGGTGGTATATGTATCTGTAGGTATTTTATCTAGCTACACACACACGCATATATATGTATTTTGTGAGTCAAGCATGGCTCTGCAAATGCGAGTCCATCGCTTAGATACCTTCTTCTACCTGTGAATGTGCTTTGATATCGTTGTGGTCGTTCTTTGCCTTGCCTCGACTTGTGTCTCTTTTTGCTCTTGAGTGCGTTGAGTGTCGTTGTCTCGATTTTTGCCCTTCTTCACACTTTGCTGTGAGAGCCAGCCACAATATTAATGCTGCTTGCTTCAACTTGTTGGCCAGCCAGCCCTGTCGTTGCTTTGATTTACAGTTAATTCCCTTTTTGCTCTCTTGTGTTTTTTTGTTATTGTTGTTGTTGAGTTTGAGGCGTCGCTTTCATATTTATAAATTGACAGCACCCACTAGAATTGATAGGCATATTAAATTGATGTCAAGAAGAGGCCATCTGATTTCCAGGAAACACACTGTTGTTGCTGTTTTTATTGTTCTTGTTGTTGTTGTTGCTTTTGGGAATCTGATAGGCAATTTACATGGTTCATTTCTTTATGTTTTCACGGTAATAAGAATGTGGCATGCGTGCATGATTGATAAACCATTCTTTATTTTAAATATTTTAATCAAAAATACATGGGGAAAGTAAGAATTGGTTTTCAAGCAACATGTGCTTAAATATAAATCACGGTGAATATTGGTCAGCAAATACTGTTAATCATACATAACATCGAAGTAGTAGTAGTAGTCGTTTTCGAATTAGAATGACCTCTTTTACGATAAATCTGCATTAAATTTGTTCATTAATTGAAAGCTTCTTATAACTTTAAAAAATATATCTAGAATTTCCAATTCCTGAAAATATATCGTTTTTAAAAGCAACTTATTTTGTATATTTTTGTATTTTTTTTAATGTTTAATTTTGCAAAACTAATTTCTTAGTGGCCAAGAATATGTTGCACATGTTTATTTAATACTTCGAACAAGACGTATTATTTGATCATAAAAGTTTAAACTGAACATTGGTCAGAACTCAACTTATTGATGCAGACAAATAAATAAATCAAAGCGATTTAAAGTGCAGCTCACAACTTCTGTCTTCGTTTGAGAACTAAACTTAAAACCAAAAATATTTATTGGCATGTGTTAATAGAATTTTGATGCTGCAGCAATAATAATAATAATACTGAGTTCAGCTCTGGTATTGACAGAAACGAATTCAGAATTTTAAGCTCTACCAAAAACCAATGAAATAAATGCTTGAGGGCAGCTTAGACTTTGATTTCTAATTAGCATATTTAATTAAAACTGCAGCACAACCCAAGCGCTGTCAGTTGCAGTTGACTGCAAGCCGCATCATTAAGCTGCCACTCAATAATTTCAAAGAGTCAATGTGCAACACGCACATTGTTATGAACCAGTCATATTTTTCCTCTATATATTTGTGAAATGATGCGTGAAGTGTTAACGTTATATATAGTTATATACATATACATACATATAAATAATTATGTATGTGTTTTTTGGCTACAGCTGTGATTGTGGATCGATTGCTTTGTGGTTTTCATCACTTTCGCAATAAGTTAGCAGCTATTAGAGTGCCTGATATTTTGGCAGTCACACAGTGCGTATGTGTAATGTTGCTTATGTGTTTATGCCATGACTTGACAAATTCTTGATTTGAACACAACGCTCAGATGGGTGACTCATGGCGATTGTTGTTGTTGCTGTTTTTGTTGTTTTTTTTGTTGCGCATTGATTAATTGTAAATACTCTGCCCATTTACTATTGGCATTGCTACAGAGTCTAATGTCAGCAGTTATTGTCAGCCTGTTAACATCAGCTGGCACATTTCCCATAGCAATTTAATGCATATTTAATGCGCCTTACAGTTAGCATTTTCACCGTGTGTTTGTGTGTGCTTGTACATGTAAGGGCTATATTACCCCCATCACCCGCCACATACACCCATTAAATGGGCGCTGGAAATGCATAAAATAAATTAATTTGATTGCCAACGCCGCCCAGTGTTTGTTTTTGTTGTTGAGGGCGGCAGGCGGCAGGCAAATACAATTGCTGTTTTATATCAACATCTATTCATGATTGCCTTTTGTCTGTCTGTCTGCCACCCCTTTTAATTACATTAAAAACAACTTGCACAAGAGTTGAGCCAAGCCATCGGTAAATACTGAACTTATGCTTGCAACGATTTGCAACAAATACTCAACTTCAAGCTTAACTTTTTATCTGTCAGCACAAAAATTAAATGGGCCAGGAGAAACTAACTTATTTGCATTTCAACTGATCCTTATTTAAATTGGATTATTTGTGTTCGTGTGATATCATTGTTTCTATATATGCTAATCGGATTAAGCATGCTGATTTATTAAGAATAATCTTAAGTATTGATTTAAATAAAGTTTAATTTCTCATTTAGAAAACTAATTAAGTAATTGAAAAGACTCGGAAGGATAATTATGAATGATAATTATGAAACAGACCGCAAATCTGCCATTTTTAGATCATTTCACATTCAGCCAATTTAATGGCATGCAGACTTAAGTCTTTGGCTCACAAACTTATTAATAAAGCAGACAAATGAATAATTTAACTGAAATCATTTAGGGATGTGCTGTATAAATGTTGCAAAGCTTTAATCAAATAATTTGCGCAGTTTAGTGCAATTAGGGAGAGTTTGCTTTCATCTTTACGGAATGTAATTAGGCTAATCTGCCTAAGTCTAAGAGTGAATGAACGGATGAATAAATGGCAAAGTGTTGCATTCTTTTTTGCTTTGATGATTATTATAATAATAATCTGGTGTCATCGACGGTGAGCAGTAATTTGTATATACATACATGCCACAGACAACATACCGCCTGCCACCACTCACCTTGTCTCAAATGAAAACTCAAAGCTCATTTCAACATCACTCGAGACATGAGTTATTTGGCTCGAGTGGATTACTGCTGCGCGGCTTTGACAGAAGTGGGTGGTTGAAAGCAAGCAGAATACAATTTTAATTGCAGCAACTGATTGCTGTCCTGTCTGACAATTGGCAAGCATTAAATTCACATGTCGTATGCGTTATATTGCGCGAACCACGCTTTTTATAGTCATCGTCATTGCGTGATTAATGTCGCCATAAATGGGCGTACAAAATGTATCTAATTAGCAAGCAAATAATACATACATACACATACCTATATGTGTATATATAGCCAATGAGTGGGTGTCTCTTTTTTGCTTGGCAGTTATAACAAACCAGGACAAATGTACACAACAAACTCATCGAGC